GGGGGGGGTTCTGAAATTAACCCTTTTAAATATTAGCCCTTTGCTATGAAGCCTACTTAATGAGCACCAGCCTCAGGCCTGTATATTTCATAATTCTGATATTTACCCTTTTAAACAATAGCCCTTTGTTATGAAAATTTCTTGCCTACTTAATGAGCACCAGCTTGTATATTTCATATTTTGAAAGTAGTCGCTCAATTCATGAAAGTGCCATTTAGTCCAACAAATCTTATTAATAATTTCAAATGTTAGCCTCCCTTTTAGTTATTTCATCTAAATTTGCTAACTCAAATTGCTGCTAGTTGTTAGCTAAACGGTAAATTGTATATCTACCCTCAATAATATTTTTCCTAGCTAAAAATCATTTGTTTTTTTTTTCTTTTGACGAGGGAACTTGCCCACGGTCCCTTGGACCATGGGTACTAAACCCCCGAGTGTGGCTAAGGGATACCTCCTAACACGCAGCCTCAGGTATTCCAAGATTAAATTCATGTGGGTGCTTTTTAGGAGAGTTTCCATGAGAGTTGAATCTAAGACGTTAGAGTACTACTCATATGCAATTTATCAACATAATTTGAGAAGATTTATATCCTCTATCTTACTCCTATGTACTCATGCGTTTCCCGCTCCAAATATAATCCTTATTTTTATTTACAAATAAAACAAAAAAAAATCGCAACTCATTTCTTCCTTCTCATCAGATTTTTCTTTTTTTCACGTGCCCTGTCTTTCTTATTGTCTAATGATATATCATATACCAACACGATATATCACATATATGCCAAGATATATCTAATTCAAAGGGATGTAATTTTACAAAGACTGCATTGTAGAATTCCTGATGATGATCATGATATTCATGCTTATCTCATTCTCTATATTGCACATCTCTGTTCTATGGGGACAAAACAATACTAAATTGCATTACATTTAGCACAATCTTCGTTGATTTCTACCACCCATTTTACTCTTTTAATCTTCCTCTCTCAAAATTCTAGCCTCAATGAGCATCATCAAAACTCATCATGATTGCCATAGTCGTTCTCTTCACCATAATGATAATTGTGTTGCCCCTCCTCAAATACTGCATCGTAGAATTCCTGAGGATGATCTAACATCTCCTCCAATGTAAGCTTCCCATCTTTATCATCGTCGGCCTGTATTATTCAAATTTGTGACAAAAAATGTTATGTGCAAACTTAAATCTTGTAACAAAATGCTAACTCAATTCCAATTTTGTAAATACTAACCTTATGCATCAGGTACTTGGTGTAATACGTCGCATATGAAAATTCACCCGGGTGCAGTTGATGGATGACAGGCTTTAGTTCTTCTGGTGTTATAAATCTGCGAAAAAAAATAAGAATATCACCAAGAAATTTCGAAACTTAAAAGAATATGGCATAATTTGTGAATTATGAAATTTGGATACGTACTTGTCTTTGTTCACGTCGAGCTCTTGAAATTTTTTTATAGCACTTATGTCCATGGGGCTAACATCCTTAGTTTCGAAATCATGAGCATAAGTAAATATGCTATGAGTTCTATCGCGAAACTCCTCAAAACTTAGCTTCCCATCTTCATTTACATCCATTTCACTATTGCGACATATCACAAAGCCAAATGAAAACATTTAGAAAGATAATGCAAAATAATGGAATATATATAATAATAAAATTTGAAAGGAAAAGTAGGGCGAGGTGCCCTGCTCATGAAAGCTATGGAATATCTAAAATTAATAAAAAACCAATTATGAATGGTTATTCAAATTATTGAGACCGATTTCTCCATTAGAGGTAAAACTTTCTACTTCACCATACATTACTTGCGATGAGAGCTTCAATCATATGTCTACGCAACTAATAATCATTAAACTAACTAATCAAGTGCAATTACCCATATTATCTTTATGAAAAAGAGCCAATGATATAATGGAGATATTACCGCATCGTAGATATATGTTATAACTGATATTTACGTGCATGACTACATGTTTCTGTGTGCAAGTTACAATATCAGCGAACTATTATCTTGAAAACCAATAAGAAATCTTATTTATATTGATATTCTTCTCCATCACAAGTAATTTGGCAAATAAAATGAAAATTACCTAGATTTCCATCCTTTTCTCAGGAAAAAAGACAAAAAGAAAAAAAAGAAAGAAAATTACCTTAGCTTTTCTCTCAGGAACCATGCTTGAACTTTTGGGTTCTTACTATCTTCAGGGTGAACTAAGCTGTAACAATAGAAGATAATGCTCGATGAAGATCATAAATTTTCAATATAACCATAAAATCCACAAAAAGCAGAACATTTTATGATTCTTACTCGTTTAATTCTAACTCGCTCAATGAACCATTACCATCCTCGTCTGCGCACTCAAATAAATCCTTCCACCATCCAGGCTCACCAAATTCCTTGTCATTCCAATCTATATCATGATCACATAACTTTATTTCAGTATATAATAGGAGCAGCATCTAATCAGTATATACTTATTTCTTATCTTATCTCTTAGTTTATATTCACTCATCTGTCGTAACATATTCATTTCTGCTATGCTACACTAAACTCAACATCCACAAAATAAAGGTAAAACGACGAAAAACAATCATATACCTCTCTTTGCCTCGGGTATATTCCACAAGAGCTCCGACAAAGTAACCTCGCCATTCTCATCCTTATCATGGACCGACATCCTCCTCTCCGTGATGTACATCAACCGATCCAATGCCTGTCGCTTGTTCCAAACATCCAACTCCCCGAAACTAAGAAACCCGTCCTTGGGAGATTGATCCAAAATAGCAAACAGATGTCTCAGCCTCTGCTCGGTGTTCAGACTCCCCTCCTCCGTGAAATAGTCCTTCAACATGCCATCATCTTCCCTCATCTTTTTCCAAAACGCGTGCACGTTTATATGCACATCGTCATTTATCTGTGGCTCCAATTTGTCGACCAAGGGGTCGAATGTTAGGTGGCGGTGGAGCCTGCGGGCCCTCATCTTCCGCGGACCCGAAGGTGGGGCCGAGGAGAGGAGGGTGATGAAGGGGATCATAGTGATGACGAGGATGAGCACCACCGCCGGTTTAGGCATTTTTCCGGCGGTGGGTTTGGCCGGAGGAGGGGGAGGGAGAGGATTGGGGCTTCAAGGTGGATGGCTTTGAGAGAGTGTATTTTCCTTTGTTGGTGGTATTTTCCCTTTTCTTTATGTCCTTCTGGTGCTTAAAAGGGTTGCCCGCCAAAATTGGCCGTTAACGGGCCACCGATAAATTTAAGGAAAGCACCGGTTTTTTTGCTGGGACCCACCCTTAGATCAGTTTTTCTTTTGGATCCTTCTCTCCAAAGAGGCTATTATAATCAATATCACTAATTTATGAACGACTATTATTTTTTCAGAGTAATATACATTAAACAGCAGACGACTAAGACTCATACCTTGAATTATCCACTAGAAGCCACGAATGAGAGGAACCAATTCGTTTTATACCTTCTAGCAAACACTCAGGTATTTTGACCTTATACATACATAACTAGGCAAAAATACCCCCGCCTGACGCCGGGCCGGGGGGGGGGGGGGGGCGCGTGTCTTCTCAAGATTACAAATTGTGAAAAAATAAATCTGACATTATGCAAAAAAAGGTATCAATACTCAGTCTTCATAACAGACCCTATGTTGACTATACTAAGACTCTTAATTTTATTCACTTCATCTCTTCACATACACTTATACAGAGCTACACAAATATCTACCAGGTTAATTCATGACCCAATGAACATCATAACCCACTAAGCCACAGGCATTTTTTTTTTTTTGGGTTTCATTGTCTTTCAAAGTATTGCTATTTCTTGTCATTGCCCTTTTTATCGCTCTTTTTAGTAGTGCACGGCCTCACTTTGTCTCTAGCAACTTTCTCACAATAACCAAAATGCTATTTGTGAAACAAGCTGGTGACTATTTTCAACTAGATTTTATGCACGTGCAATGCACGTGGTTAAATATTGTGATTAGGTATTTTTTATTTATTTTCTTACTAAAATTTGTTCATCGGTTACTCTGATAATTTTTACTCACTTGGATTAAGTATTTTTGGTTTATTCTCTTACTAAAATTTGTTCCTCAATTATACTTTGATTATTTATTTATTTGATGTTTGTTTGAATAGACTACACCCAGTTTAAATTTTTATATTGATAGTTGAATTGTTAGGAGATAAATATAATCTAAAGCCCATTTAAATTTTTATTTCATTTGGATCGGCATGAAACCGAGCGTGACCTGAGGAAGTATAGTGTTATGAAAGTGAAAACACTTGAAAAAATAACATTATATATAAAAGGAAGGTGAATAAAAAAAGCCAACGAGCCAAGATTATTGATTTAAAGTGGGCTGAAATGACAGAAAATAGTCAATGAAAAAATTCATAAACTGAAGATGAATGCTAACTCTAGTACACTTTGATAAAAGCATCCACATATGCATATGAAAGCACTAAAAATAGTTTACGAAAATTCATGCTAAATATTCCTAATTTTACTAAAAAATAAAACTATTCTATAACAATTCACAAAACATTATCTTTTGTTGCTTCTATTCTATTTTTTATTGAGTTGAGATCAATCCTTCTTTATATTTATCTTTTTTCTGGGCAATTCTAGAGTAGTGTCTTCATCATCGACATCGATTGTGATATGAGACTGGAGTATGTTATCTTTCCTTGGGCTCATTCATCTTTTGTCTTCTCGTCTAAATTCACAAAGAAGTTGAATATATTTCTTATGTTCAACACAAACTTCTGACAATACGGGCTTTGATTTTTTTCTATTTTAATAAGAATAAATGTTAATTTCATATATATAAAACTTTTTGTGCTTGAAATTTATTACTTAAATAAGGTTAGGGGCTACCTCTTTTTTCCTATGCAATGAATTATTTTGTTATGCATCCAATAAGAATTTTTGTTGTGTCATAATATCTTTGCTTTGTTTGTATCATTTTCCACGAGGATCTGAACTAAATACATTACATTTTTCATTGTCAATTTGCTTTAGATTATAATATTAATATATAATTTTGATATATTTATTTTATGAAGAAGGGATATCACTTAACCTTGGTACTACATCATCAGTGATTCTACAACATTTATCATCTGGACACTTATTATTAACATCTCTATCTACTTTATTGTTGCAGCCTTTGCAAACATAGAATTTCTGCTCAACTCTATTATAAATGGTAGTTATCGTTACCTTAAATGTGCGATAGTGTGTCTGTATATTAGTAAATTATTCTTAGGTTTAATTGTATGAATTTTAGAATATGTTTTCTAAGATCATATCTCTTTCGAATGTTATAATGATTGTATATATTAGTAATTTAAATTTTTATTGTTTTTATAAAGAGCCTTAATAGAGATGCTTTTGTCTTGGTAGCTTACTCTAAAAGAGCGCTGCATATTAGCTTTAAAATATAATATTTTTTCTTTACGGTGTTATATGGATGCTTGTTTGGTTTACTTACTATTCTCTTATTTCTTTAGTAATTTGTATCTTTGGATTGATATATATTATTGACGCAATTTACGATGATATGCATATCTCCTCTATAAATTTGAAACAAATATAAGGTGAATTTTAGTTTTAGTGGCATTTAATAAGAATTTTAGTAATGAAATATACTACCTTCATATTTAGAGATCTTGAATTCTAATAGTGCTATTACATCATTATCTTTGATCGTGTTTTTAAGAATTGATCTTTGATTAGTAGTCATACCCTTAAATAAAGTCACGCAGGGCCGTGATACTATATAAGAAAAAGGAAAAATGGCGATTTTATATTTTTTTGCTTACACAGAGTCATGACATAGTAATTTTTCTTTTATTTTTCATGAAGAATGTTTCTTTGATTGGAACAAAGTTGTTCAATATATTCTTCAGGGGGTATTCAGTCAGTGTTTCTTTGATAAATATAACTTATGTTAGTATTAATTAAAGTGATTCATGGACGTTCTGAATTCCATTTAAAATGAAAATCACTTGATTCTTTTGAAAGATATCTCTAAAATTTCTAGTAGTTCTCTATACGTAAATCTTATAATTTTTTACCCTATAAATATTATTACCATTAGAGATCAATATTTATAAATTATAATCAATTAATGTTAAGCTATATTATATTATAGTCTTTTATCAGTTTTTTACGATTTAGTCTTCTATCAATTAATGATACTTATGTATTTTTGCTGCTCTAACATATTGGTAAAAGTATATGTAGTTACTTTAATTTATATAATAACATTAATTTTAATCTATTATATATATATATTTTAAAATTTTATTATTTAACTGGATATTTTTAATCTATTAATATTACTATTTTTATCAGTATCAACTTGGCTATTTTCAGATTCTGAAAAGGAATAGTAAACCTTAAATTATAAGTTAAATTTATATATCTTAATGAAAGAATATCACACAATTACTCTTTTCTTTACCAAGTTCTAAATTTTTAGTTATTTATTTTGTGTAATTTTAACTTTTGAGAGTATTTTGTCTAATTTTTAAAATTTTTACTTTTTTTTGTAATACTTCATGTAATAAAATGATACTACAGAGTTGTTTCATATATTTTATTAATCTTATTTAAATTATTGAGCTATAGATAGTTCATGTAGTATTAGGATAGGATACAAGTATGATTAGGATAGATTATAATTTAAATTAAATATTTAAAATAGTACATGATAATTTTGACTATGGAAAGCTTTCCCGAACTCGTGCTTTTAAAGGGAGTATGATTTTTGTTTTCCTTAATTTTCTTTTTTTTTATAATTTTGAGAATGACTTTTGTCTTTTTAATTTGTTTGGCGGATTTTGTAAATATCTCATCCATATTATGTACATTTGTAGGTCTACGCTGTTCCTGGGTTCGACCTTTGGGGTAGACGTTATTTGTCTCATTAATTTATTTGATTTTTATGTATACGCCCTTTATTTTGTAGACATTTATAAATTTAACATTTAATAATTTTATTTAGATTTACGTTTCAATTTAAACTGCATCCTCATCTTCGTACTATGTATATCCAATAAGAATTCATCAATTTATCAACTTACTCTTATTTAATGGAATAATATTTGAATTCCAAAGGTATTTTTGTCTATTGAAAGATTTTTCCAAACTCGTGCTTTTAAAGAAAGTATGATTATTAGGCTTTCACTTTAATTCTATTTTGACTGTTATGTCCACCGGTAGGGTAAATCATACTCCCTTTAAAAGAGGGAGTTGTGAAAAAACTTTTCAAGGACTATACTACCCCTATTCTTTGTTGATATTACATTCTAATGCTAACTAAACTAAATTAATTATCATTGTTAATTAATTACATTATATATTACTTTAAGTTTATATAATTTGGTCCCTAAAACTTCCAACGCTATTGTAAAACTCTACATCATATCAATTATTAATAATGTAAAATAATATATTAATAGATAATTGTATGTTAATAAAGTATTTATGGAAAGAGTAGAAAACATAGAATTGTCCTAAAATTATACCATGAAACTCATATAGGAAAATTACAAAGAGCATTCTTATGTTTATGTAAGAGGACAGAATGTAAAAACATTATATTTTGAAAAACATTAGGATATTTAAGTGCAGCAAGCTAGATATGTTATCTAAAATTTAAAAAAATATGCAACAAGATACAAGTGGAGGTATATAAATATAATTGCTGTAAACTATAAAAGATTTAAGTTCAATTAGGCCTATAAAAGATTTAAAACTTTTGTTATCCATAAAAAATAATATATGAACCCATTGATAAATAATATTCATCATACAATATGTGGCCAAATGGTTAGCTTATATTTATATAGTAGAGGAGATGCTGAAAAATTGAAGCATCATATTTTGAATGAGTCTCAAGATTTTGAATTATTTCCTAAAATTATATACTTCGCTTAAAAAACTTTTGAAGAGGCTTCTGAAGGACTACGACAAAGGGTTGGACATCAGATAAATATTAAACAAATAAAATCCATGATATTAGATTATAAAATTCAAGGATGTCTATGTAATATTGGG